GGTGCTAGAGGGCGTGAGAGGGAGAGAGCGAGGCCAGGGAGGGGAGCCAAGAGGGAGGGAAGGGCAGAGAAAGAGCCCGGGAAGAAGGAGGTGGCAGGCAGAGGAACGTAACGAAGAGCCATGTGTAGATATCGTGAGCTCCCAGAAGGGTAACGCTGCCGGTTTTCGGCTTTTATTCTCTTGGTGAGGGGAGGGGGTGGTTTGGGCTCTTTCTTTCCTCTGCCTTCTTCCCTCATTCTCTACTTGTGGGCATCTTCTTTTTTTCCTTTTGAAACATTGTATCTTGGGGAGCACCAGGCGTGTCTTTCGGAGGTGGCCTCACTGTCATTTTCTAGTGGGGGGCGTGGTGGGGAAGGGGGGGGCTCTGTGGGCACGGCCGAGGCTGGGCCATCTGGGTGTGCCTGGGCTTGAGTATGAGGGTGTGGGGTTCAGGGCACCTGGTGGGTGGGTGTTCCGAGGGCCACGCCAAGGGGCTGAAACAGAGCAGGGAGTTCTGCACCTCCAGAACTTGTGGGGTGAGCCTAGGGGCTGTGTGGAGGTGTGAGACTGGCTCCTGAGCTAGTAGTCCTGGGTTGTTGAGGGGTGCGGGAAGCCGTGCGCCCACCCTCGAGTTCTTGCTGTTTGGGTCAGTGTGTGTAGTGAGGGCTGAGTTGTGCAGCAAGTATGGCTGAGAGTTTGTGTGTGCGTGCGCGCGCGTGTGCGTGTGTGGTCCAGCATCGAGGTGTGTGTAGAGGAGGGGGGAGCATAGTTGGGTGTGGAGGAAGAGCGCCCCTCACCCTACACTTTCCAGCTGCCCCTCTCACCCCATTCACGGAGCAGGCTTTCAGGACCCTCCTGGTCTCCTCCTCCCGTCGCCATGGCTGCGGGGAGGGGTGGAGGAGACAGTTGGAACCAGCCCCCTGCCCCTGCTGCTCCAGCTAACCCCCCACCTGCCCTTTCTCTCCCTTCTACAGGCTGGGCCCCATCCCCTGCTGCTCTGGGGTGGGAGTGGGGGGAAGGAGCCGGAAGATGGTGGCCAATGAGGAGGGGGAGAGGAGAGAACTTGAGCCAGGGCCTCCCCTCCCCCATTTCCTCCTCTGTCTCTACAACCCGCTTCTGGAAGGAGCTGGGGGATGGCTCCTGGGCCCAAGGTGGGGGAGGGGTCTTGCTGGCTGTTGAATCGCAAGGCCCTGCTCCTTAGGAATGAATTGGGTGTGTGAAAGCTGAAGGGTCTGGGTCCCAGCTCCCTGTCCGGTCGTTCCCTAAAGAGCGATCTGGGAATTCCTTGGGAAATAGTCTTCCCTTGGCTTCCCCGAAGCTTGGTGGGCAGCCTTGTCTTTGCCCCTCTGCCCGCTCTTGGCCTGGTTCAGTTCCCAGCTGGCTTGCCCAATCTCAGAAGCAGAAAGGCCTGGCTACTGACCCTAGCGGGGCCTTGGTTTCCGTCCATTAGAATTGTGCACACTGTGGGGCAGGGCCCCATGTTTGCAGATTACAGGAAAAAACTCTGCCTGAAAGGCAAGAGAGAACCTCTCCTGCTTCCTGAGGGGGGTGGGAGGAAGCCCAGAGGAAGAGGTCCCAACTGGAATTCAGTCTTCCATTTCTCCCGCTGGCTGTGGAGTGGGGAAGAGGGAGTCTTCCATGCCTGGGAGGCCTTCATGGATCAGAGAAGAGGAATCACCCCTCTGCCCCTTTGGGCTGCACATAGTTTGCCAGGTCAGACTATCACTACCTTTTGGGGCTGTGGTTCTGGCTGGAATGTGCCAGATAGAGCTCTTCATGGCTCTTGAGCATTGGGATATCTAAGTGTCCTTCCAGGATTATCTTCTGATTTTGGATTTTTATCAATCTGGATTGTCCTGGGATTAAGCCACTTTGACTAGCATGGACTGAAAGACTAGACAGGAATCTCATTTTCTAATCCTACTACCAGTGAAAGCTTATCCCTAACCCAGTACAAGAGAGTGAATTAACTCTTAACCATTTAGTTTACTGCCAAATCCATAAATTGCTTTGAGGCCCTCAAGCATTGGCTTCAGTTGCTTCTACTTCCATATCTGGAAGCTTCTCCTGCCTAGGGTCGTATACACTCTTCAAATCTCTGGACCTGAGGTTCATCGGAGAGTGTCACCTTGGAGACCTGGAACACCCCTTTATTCAAACTTACACAGAGTTTTAGAGTGGAGAAGCAAAGAGGGTTCTGTAGTGGGCAGGAAACTTCCCCTCTGGAAGGGTTGTGGGGGGGGGATGCAAATCCAGAACAGTCCCCCAGACTTTTAGGATTTTTACCAGTTATTTCTTTTGAGGATTGCATGGTTCCCTTCCGCTGCTCCATTATGCCCTGCCCCACCACTCCTCACTGAAAAGGGAGTCTGCTGGAAAGGGGTGGAAAAAAAAAAGGCAAAAGGAGGAGTGGAGGGAAAATAGAAGATTAACACTGAGAGTGAAAAAGAATACAGCTATACTGAAGATAAGAGAAGGGGCAAAGGAAGGCAGTGAGCTGAGTGGGCCAGGGAGTGGGAGAAGGGGTGAGGAGGCAGGGCCGGTGCCTCTGCTGCTGGCCGGAGCTCTTTTCACATTGTGCTACTGTCTGCACCTATCACAAGCAGTGCAATGTTAAAAGGGCATTGGCCTTGTAGTGCTACCCAGCACCGGCTTCCTCCTCAGTGTTGGTATTTCTTCTCCTAACTGGGCACCAATCAGCTACCCTCAAGGGAATTTAGGATGCCTCAGTCATACCGATAGTTAATAGATCCACTTGTGTGTGCAGCACATAGGCTAGGTATTGCAAACATTATTGGCAGGTAACATTCCCATTTGACAGATGAAAAAACTGAGGGCCAGAAAGATTTAAGCATTTTGGCCAAGATTATGTGGCTCTTAGGTTAAATATAATTCTGTTCTAAGTGCAAAAAGATGCACCCATCTTTTTGTAGACCTGTCTGGAGAAATCTGAGTAGGTTCTCTCATTGGAGGAGCTGAGCAAAGGGGTGGAGGGTTTTGATGCCATCTGCTGGTTACACAAGGATACTTTCCAAAGTCTCAAGTTTTCAAGGATAAATGTGGTGGCAGTTCTTTGGTAAAAGTATATAAGGATCCCAGATGCACTTGTGTTGGAGAGGCAGAGTTTAGAAGGGAAACGCTGAGGCCCACTGAAGACCTCTGAGAAAAAGGTGCACACAGAAAAGGAAAAAGGCTAACTCAAAAGGATTGCTCCCCAGGGAAAAAGACCTGCGTACTCAGCCTCCCATACCTACAGCTCATCCTTCTCCTGCCTCCACTTGCAGTTCTCACATGACCCTTTTTGGTCACAGGGTATTTGATGATGATGCTTCATGCAGGTACACTTGCCTGGGAACACAAGGTTTAAACAGTACTGCCCATGACCTGATCTTAGAAATTAAATAGGATCCCTTGAACCATGCCCACAGAATGATTCTTCTAGGAGATCACAAGGAGCTTGAGAGGACCAACTGTTCCATTTACTTCTCCGTCTCCCACAGGGCCTACCTGGCTTCCTTAGGACTTGTTAAAGTAAATCGAGAGGTATTCATGGGGAGCTTCTTTACGAAAGCAGCTGGTTTTTCAAGGGCAGAGTTTGTGGCTTGCTTTGATGCAGGAAATGGGACTGGGAACAGTGAGTCCCCTGCTGGAGCTTGAGTATATTGACATTAATCACTAGGCGGAAACAAAGTAGATCAGGACCCCTTCACCCCCAGTCTTCACATTTGGGGTAAAGGACACCATTTCTGGCTTATATTTGCCCTTCTCTCACCTCTGTGTCTTCCGGTTCTCTTTCTCTTGTTCAGACAGCCTCTGCATTGTTTGAAGTGGTACAGTTAGCTTTATATCCCTAACTTTCTTCAGTCTATTCAAACTCCTCATTGAGCTTCCTGTCTAGGCACAAAACAGCCATTTGATGATGCTACTTCATTCTTGTTAAAAAAAATTAAGAATTTTTTCCATGTTTCTCCAGTGCCCTTGGGGACGTGATGTAGATTCTCTGAATGATTTACAGCCCTGCCTGTTGCTCCTGTTTCACTTCTTATCTCTCATTCACTTGCACCTCTGTTCTAACCACAGGAAAGACATCCTCAAATTAACAAAGCTTGAGTCACTTAACACAGAATTCTGCCTGAATGGCTTTTTCTAGTCTTGCCCTTCTCCTAACCAATTTTTCATCTTTTGAGTGCCTTCAATACTCAACTTTCTGTGAAGCATTTCTGGTCTCTTCAGATGTAGGTCAAATTCTTCCAACTCTGTTTCCTTGGTTAGAGCTCTTCGTTCAACTGGGGTTACCTGCTTGTTTTCCTCCCAATAGGCTAAATGCTCTAAGAGGTCAGGGAATGGCTACCTTGTCCACCATACCTCCTGAGCTTACAACAATATCTGGCAATATGTGCCTTATAAGTATTTGTAATATAAATAGATGAATCTAGAAATGTCCCTTGTGTCGCAAGGTTGCATTGATGCTATTACTTTGAGCAATTTACCACTTAATTTTTTTTGGCAGTATTGGGGTTTGAATTGTGGGTCCCACACTTGCTGTGCAGGCAGGCACTCTACCACTTGAGCTGCTTCGCTAACCCCCATTTTCCACTTTAGATCAACTACCAATGCAGCACCTTGTTTAAAAGATTTTTCCCTTTAGCTTTAAATGTGTGTTTGAGCTAAACAAAGTGTTACAGAACCAAGCCAAAAACAACAAAAACAATGGGAACCAAGAAACCCTTATTCTGGGATGAACCGCTTTCAGCTGCCTAATCCTGGGTCCAGGCAAAAGTTGTTGCATCAGCAAGAACTTCTAAAAACATGAGCTCTTGAATACAGCTCACAAAACCTCATCCCTTTTACCAAGAAAATACTCTTGGTAAAATCTCAAATGGCAGGGAAAGAGGAGAATCTTGCCACATACAAAGCGAGTGCTGCCCCTTAGTGGTAGAAAAGGACATGCCCCTGTGGTGACGTGCTGGGGACAGTGTGGTTATATGCACAAGGAAGGAAAGTCAGGAATAGTGCCTCACAGTTACTTTCCCCTTTTTATTAAAAATAGAGCCAAACACTTTATGTATCATACAAAAGTTTCGTTCGCTGGTGGCAGCCACGGGAAACACTGGCCCCGTAGCTCTGATGATCCACCTCCCCTCCAGGGGACTGTGTCTCAGGGAGCAGCGGCTGGGCCTTGGAGAATGCCCACAAAAACTGCTCTCTCTGGCAACAGCCAGCTGGGGGTGGGGGTTGCTCTAGGGCAGTTTTCCCCACCCCACCCAATGGCAACGGTTAGATACTCCAAAGTGCCTCGTTAGTGCCAAGGTAAACTAACAAATCGAGTGAAATGAAACCCCTGTGACTTAACTTCCCAGGGCCTGGGAATTGGGTTTTTCTTTCCATCTGTCCCCCACCCACAAACAAGGGTGGAAAATGGTCATTCTCAGACTCTGGTCTCTTGGTGTCTGAGGCCAAATTTGCATTTCACCCTAAGCCTTTTCTCTGCTATGTTGTGGCCTAGGATCTATCAGCCCATGACCCAAGGTTTGTCCTCATTCAAAAAAAAAAAAGGCGCATTGAAATCTGATACCTCCTATGGTCTTCTGCCTGAGACCACACCCAGCCATTACCTCAGTTTTCTGGGCCTTGGGAATAGAAGGAGCTCAAACAGTCCCCTCTTCTGGGTTCTGTATTTCCCTGACTGCTGCCCACTCCTTAGCCTGAACACCCCCGGAGTACACCAGACCCCTGTTCCAAAGGGAGCCTGGGAGTGATGTGGTGGAGGAGGAAGGCATTGGAGCCGGTTTCCCCCAGGGGTGGGGCAGTATTCATGCTGGTACGACTGCTTGGCGGGGGGTGGGCAGGTGTGAGGAGGGTGGGGCATGCGAAGGAAGGGCAAAGCCTGCCTGAGCCCCTCAGTCCCAGCCGTTGTCTTTCACCATGTGTGACATTTCAATGATGTACTTTCCTTCTTTGTACTTCTGGCTGGTTTCAAAAGCTTGTTCCTGGTGGAGAGTGAAGCAGTGGACATAGGACAACGCATTTCCCCTCTAGGTCCCACTACCGCCTGTATTACCTCTACCCAAAGTTCCCCCAGCTAGACCAACCCTGCTCCAAGCTTCTTTTTCCTTTAGACCATGAAATGACGTGACATGTGGTCACTGGGCCTTGGAGGGCTACTTTTAGAAGGTGGCCCTCATCCCCAAGTACTTACATATTTCCAGCCCAGTGTGGTCTTGCAGCTTTCGCAGAAAATGTCAGCTACCGAGTGGAGCCCCGTGAGCAGAAGGCGCTGTTCAGCTGGCCCACAGCCCACGTTGACCCTGTCTCAGGAAACAGGAAGGACCCAGCACCCAGTGGGGTTGCTTTGTCAGTCCATCCCCTAAACAGCCCCAAAGGACTTGCATCTAGAGAGAACTAGAAGCCTCTACCTTCAGCAGTCCACCCCTTTATCACTTCTCCAGTGCTATGATTTTGGTACTCCCTAGACTACTCACAAAACTGCAGATTGGTTTTCTGAACCCCTTTACAAACAGGGAAGCAATGCCAAGGGTAGGAGATGACCTGGTGGCCCACCCACTTTCTCCACAGAGGAAAAACGTTCACACGCACAAGCACACACACGAAGAAAGAGGTAGACTCACACGGAGTTAAACAGGTAGGCTCGGCCATGGCTCCCTTGGAAGGACTGTGGAGACACAGGACAGACAGTGACCACTAGGCGGCCCTTAGCCCACTGCCTAGATTCCAGTTGGGGGGTGGGGAATAAAGATGCTTTGCTGCCTTGTCCCTAGATGATCAGGCAAGCCTGGCGTGAGAGGAGTGGCAGGCCCCCGCTTCAGCATACCTTGGAAATAAGCTCATCGTGTTTGGCCAGGTGTGCGCGACAGTGGACACAGCTGTACGTGCGGTGGCAGCGGGGCAGGTAGCTTCGGAAAGTCTTGGTGGGTAGACAGGCAGGGGCCGGGCCAGGGTCACAGCTGGGCATGACAGGTTGGAGGACGATGCCCTGACGGGCTGGAGGGGCTGGCGCCGTGCAGCCCCCACAGAGACGGTCGCAGGTGAAGCAGCGGAGCAAGTTGGCTAGAGCCGTGTTTCAGGGCAGGAGAAGTGTGGGGGGGCTGCCCGGCCAGGGCCCCCCCAGACGAGAACCAGATAGAAATGGAAGTCACCTGGGAAGACGGTAAGGTGCATCAGGATACTGTGACCTCAGAGGAGGCCCTCCTGAGTGACTGGAGAAGGTGGGGTTCAGCTCACCTCTACCCCGACTTCTCCCATCACCACCAACCCTCTCAGCCTCCATGTGCATTGTTTCCCTGTCCCCTGGAGTCCCATTCTACTCTGGCAAGCCTGGCACCAGTTCCAGGCTTCTTGTGCCATGGTCAGAGAGCTGGTATCACTCTCTCCTGGGGCGGTAGCAGCCTCTACCGTTTTCCGCTGAGAGCAACTTGCTGGCACAAATGCTGCCATGGGAGCGACATAATCTGCAAGGGCTTCCTTGTGTTCCGTTCTGTTCTTCTGTGCAGATCTGCACTAGTAGACACAGGGTCTTTTAAAAGTTGGAGATGCCGTTTTTGTTTTTTTGTTTTTCTTTTTCATGGACTCTGTTTGCAATTCAGTTCTTTCTGTATAAATTTTGTGTGGGAGGAAGGGACAGGCCTTCAGGTATACATACCCTGCTTCAACCTTCTGAGGCTGGACACTGCTCTTCAGAACTCACTGTAACTTCACGGCTGTCTCTTTCACCTCACACATGGCTGATCCCCGATTCTGCACTGTGGGCCGTTCTTCTCTGGCTTAGAAGGAGCACCTGCTGTCTTCCCAACCTCTGAGTCCTTTGGGCTCTCTCTTTCTCTCTTTCATTGGCTGTCGCCTTAGCCATGAGTTTCAGACTTAGGCGCCTAGCCTAATATCTTTCCTTGGGCAAATCTGACAACTAGACCAATGGGAAATTAGTAACACGTCAGAGAAGCCAGACTCCTAGGCTGTGTGGTACAGTGTAAGAGCAACACCCACAGTAAACAACAGGAGTGGGAGGGGGATGGTCCTTAATTTTTAAAGACTGTGCTGTGGGGAACAGGGCAGGAAGTCCTTCTTCTCCCAGGAGCTGGAACAAACAGCAGTGACTCCGTGGATGAGTGAAGATGAAGTAACTGCTAGGTTCTGATTAGCAGTCTTGAGAAAGACATTGGTATCTGCTCACTCCAGCCCCCAAAGTGGCTGAGGGTGCTGCATGCAGACGATAAGAAGGGAAGGGTCCTCGGTTGGTTCTGATAGGTAGGTGAGGTGCTGCCTTCGCTTTCATGGGGCCTTTTGCTCTTGTGGGTGGTTTAACCAAGTCTTCAGGGATGCCAGTTAAGTGCTCTGGCAATGCTAGACCACCAAGCAGAGGAGGCAGAATGACTGATTACCAGGGCAAACAGGCTCTCCCTATCCTGACCTCTGTGGTCAGGAGCACCTGCTCCTCCATTCTCAAAGGGCTGTCGGGCAGTCTCTCCACAAAGCCCCTGAGTGAGACCATCTTCAGTTTCAGGTTCCCTCTCCCTGGCTGATCCCCAGGAAAACACCTTGTGCTGAATTCAGGGTGACATTGGGTTCTGGCCACAAGAAACGGGCCCTCCTTGCCAGAAGACTACAGTTCAGCATCTACTTAGGTCTGCTTTCAACTTTGCTTGCGAGTTCCCCTCCAACACAGCCACCTTGAAACACCTACTTCAAGGGGCTGGGGGAGGGGGGACCATGCCAGCTCAGGTCCCCGCTCTCTCAGGCTCCTTTCTCAGACTCTGACCGTCACGCCTCCCTCCCCCTCCCCTACTCCCACCTCCAGCCCAGGAGAGGCTGCAAAGGCTAGAAAAATCACAGAAGGGAGAGTAGGGGTCATTTCTTCTCCCAGAACACAAGGAGAACAATTTGGGCAAATGATTGGGGAAAAACAAAGGTGAGCCCGATAAGCTGGGGCTGAACCGAGGGGTGGGGGGGAGGGAGAGGGTACTGACAGCTGACAGCAGAGGCAGCAAGGCGGAGGCTGGAGGAACCAGGTGTGAATCCCATGCCTCTCCCGAGGGTAAAAAGTGGGGAGGGGGACACCTGCTCACAATGGATGTTCTCATCTGCTCTGAGGTTTCGCTCCCCCTGGGTTGGCATTTTCAGTATGGTATGGTCCAAATAATTAGCAGCGCAGCTCCCAGGGCGGGCTTTGGGGGTCTGCACCAGCAGCAAAACAATAAGCAGTGGTGATGCTTGATGCTGCAGCCAGAGTTACCGGGAAATAAGTGCGGGAATCATCAGAGCTTGGAGAGGGATGGAGGAGCCGAGAGAGAGGAGCGGAGGCAGCGGGGAGGGGGAAGGGAGGACAAAGGGTGGATGAATAATGCTTTTGCAAAGGCGAGAAAGCAACACGCAGCAGAAAGAGAAATTTGCAAAGGGGAAAAAATTCATTTGGAGAAGGGCTGCCCCCTCACCTTGAGGTCTGCTTCAGAGATCTCCGTCTATCTCTCTCTCTCTCAATCTCTCAATCTCTCTGCTCACTCTTCTCTCTTCTCTTTCAGCTCCTTCAATTGGGAAGGGGGTGGGGGTGGGTGAGGGAAGTTGGGGTCTCAAGATGGGGGCTGCAAAGCTGGACAGCTGCTGGGGGGCCAGAGGTTGCCTCTCGTTCTGTACCTCGGTCTGTGGGTGAATGTGGCTGTGTGTTGTGGAGCTGCATCATAACACTGTGAGTCATCCATCCCCCACCCCCTCACCTCCCACGTCAGAGCAGGGCTGGGAGACACAGGAGGCAGGCTGGGAGGAAGGGAGGGGGCAGGCATAGAGGGACCAGGCTTGGGGGGCAAGGGATGAGTTGAGGGTGTCTGTGCTGAGGGTGGGCAAGAGGACAGGCAGGCGGTTAAGGCAGAAGGGCCAAAGAGAGGTCCTGGAGGAAGGACAGGGCTGGGAAAGGATGGGGTAAGGAGTGGTAGGCTGGAGGAAAGGAGGTAGCAAGAATGGTGAACTGAGAGATGGCTGCAGAGAACCAGGAAGTACACACACACACACACACACACACACACGCACTCAGCATGATATATTTCCCTACTTTAGCTCAGACACCAGCACTGACGCAGGGAAAAGGATATACTAGTTGTCATGGATGGCAAACTGTGCTACCAAACTTGTACTGTACCAGGCAGAGCCATGCTTCAAAACCTCAGAAGAAATCATAGGTCAAATATGACATCAAGCATGCAAGAACCTCTTAACAACTACCTCCAAATTGTGCTTTACGACTGGAGACACAACCTTACATAAGGTTCTCTATTGGGCTGTAAACTTGAGGTAGGTCCTCAGGGAAATCTCTGCATCCCAGGACTGCAGTGCCTATCGCAGAGGCCTGCATGCAGAAGAGGCTTACAATACAGCAATTAAGACATCTTCATGCCTAGCAAATATGAGGCCCTGAGTTCAAGTCCCAGTACTGCCAAAAAAGAAAGATGCATCTTCAGCTATGGACCGAGTGTTTGGCTTGTGTCTCAAAGACACCTGAGTTGAAATCTTAAGCACTGCCACTTACTCACCAGGAACCACTAAGCAAGTTCCCAATCCTCTCTGTACCTCAGATTTCCTCTCAGCCAAATGAAGGCAATAATATTTACTTCATAGAGAAGTTAACTGAGATAACATGTAAATGCCCAAAAAGTGTGTGGCACATGATAGCTAACAAGTAAACACCAATTAGTGTTATGTCAAAACAGCATTCTCTGTGGTGGATGTAACTTATATCCATCCATGCAAACAGAATGAAACCTATTGAAATTGTTCTAAGAAGAGGGGGAGGGGGGAAGAGGGAGAATGATGGAGGGGGTAAATCTAAGATATTGTAAGCACATATGTAAATATCACAGTGTATCCCCTGTATACGCCAAATTTGTGTCTTAAAGAGAAATTTCATTTTTCCTTGCTATTTTTCTATCCCAGTTAAAATTCATCAGATTCAGAATACTTCTCTTGGAGCTGTGAGAGTGCCTGCCTAGCACAAGTGAGGCCCTGAGTTCAAACCCCAGTGTCATAAATAAATAAATAATCAATAAAAAGAATACTTCTTGTGGAGTGCTGTCCAGTGTATGTCATTAAAATTGTATGGACCCAGAATATAAATAAGACAAAATCCCTGATTTTTTTTTTTTGGTGGCACTGGGGTTTGAACTCAGGGTCTCACCTCTCCTTGGCAGGTGCTCTTACTATTTGAGTCCCTCTCTGTGATGGGCTTTTTCCAGACAGGGTCTCAAAAACTATTTCCCTAGAGCTGGCTTCAAACTGATCTGCTGGCTTCAAACAAAGATCCTCCTGATCTCTGCCTTTGAGTAGCTGGGATTACAGGCATAAGCTGCTGGTATCCAGCAAAATCCATGATTTTTAACAAAGACTAACATTTAGAAAATGAAATTTGGTAATAAGAAAGCAGTGCTATAGCTGATTTTTCTTGTCACATGTAAGGAGGGGCAAAAAGTTAAGGCAGAGAAATGTGGTAATGAGAAGCATTGATAACTAGGTATGAAAAAAGGAATTCTATCTAGGCGCTTGTGGCTCACGCCTGTAATCCAGCTACTTAGGAGGCAGAGATCAGGAGGATCGCAGTTCGAAGCCAGCCCAGGCAAATAGTTCGAAAGACCCTATCTGGAAAAATCCTACCACAAAAAAATTGGGCTGGTGGAGTGGCTCAAGGTTAAGGCCCTGAGTTCAAGCCCCAGAAAAGAAAAAAAAAAAAAAGGAATTCTAACCAGTTGCCGGTGGCTCATCCCTGTGATCCTAGCTACTCAGGAAGCAGAAATCTGGAGATCATGGTTCAAAGCCAGCCCCAGGCGATTAGCTCGAGAGACTAAAACCTATAACAAAAAAGGGCTGGTGGAGTAGCTCAAGTGGTAAGTACGCCTGCCTCGCAAACCAGTTCAAACCCCAGTGGTGCCGAAGGAAAAAAGAAAAAGAAAAAAGGAATTCTAAATATTTAATCAGGGATGATTCAGGGACTTAAGGTAAATTCTGAACATACAACGTGGGTTTCTGGAGGGAAAGGACCAGAAGTTTGGAATTGAAAGGAAGAACTGAGTGAAGAAAGTAGAGGGCAGCAGGTGAGAAAGGAAATATAAGTGGAGGAATTAAAGGAGCCACCGCTGAGGAGGAAAAAGGAAGCTAATTAGCTTTTAGGACATGAAATTAAAAGTCTGGAAGCATAAAAAATACCAATGAATTTAAATCAACTCATGAACAAAATGATCAAGGATTTAGCTGGAAAGGAGAATGAGAAGAACATATGAGGACAGAATTATTTGGGAGTGGGGTGGAGATGACAGGAGTACTTGAAAGATTGAAAGTGAGAAGAGAGTGTGGGCAAGCACAGATGCTTTAAATGTCTCTGTGTTTAGGAAGTAAAATAGCAGTCTAAAAAGGGGAGAGGGGCTTCTTCCTAAATTTAGCTTGAGATGGTTTATATGATATCCCAATAAAGATGATGTTCAGGTAATTGGGAGAAACTGACTCAAGGGAGACTGTGTGGAGGCAAAGAAATGGATCTGGGAGATAGATTACATGGAAATGGGAAAGAATGAGCTCACTGGGAGGAAATTTACAAATAGAAGTCTGGTAGTGGAATTTTGAATGGTAGGAGATCAGCAGATACCCAATAGTTAATGGAAGAATTGATGCATGCATGGTGAATGAATGACTTAATTAAACCAAACCATCAAAGAAAACTGTGAGAAGAGAGGGTGGCCCTGCTTGAAAAGTGAGCACTATGTAGGACCAGCAGGAGAAAGGAAAACCAAAAAGTCTTCCTAGCCTTCTCACTCTGTATTCACCAGGTGGGCTGAAATGAAGGCAGTACTCACCTGTTTAAAAAAAAAAAAAAGAAGAACTTCTAAAATGGAGATGCCAGTTATAGTAACTACTGCACAGGATTCTTGCAGGAATTGAATGAATTTACACCTGTGAAACTCATAGAACAGTACCTGGTAGCTAACATTATATAAGTTTGCCCTTACTATGACTGGACCCAAACTTACAAACTGTTCATTTAGTCCTACCTCTACTAATGACTGAATACTTGGGTGCCTTCACCTATCTTAGTCTCCCCAAAAGAAATTGGAGATAGGGCTCAAGTGGTAACTAATGCCGGCTAGCATGAGGCCCTGAGTTCAAATCCTAGTACTCTCCCACCCCCCAAAAAAAGAAATTGGCGATAATAAAGTTGACTCTTTAGGGTGCTGTGAAACAAGCACCTGAAAGGACTTAAAAAATGTAAATGGATGGCATAGTTAGAGCCCCCTCTCCTATAATAAAAACTTGAACGTTTTCTAACACCAGATATTTTCTGTATTATAAGCATTGTGTTTAGTGCTTTGCATGAATCATTATATCCAATCTTCGAAACAAATTTAAGAGGTTGGGTACAGTTATGTCCCTATTTGACAGACAAGAAACGACTCAGAGAAGGAAGACCCGTGAGTTGTCCGAAGTCACTCAGAGAGCAAACAAGATTCCAAAGATCGACCTCGTGAAAGGATTATGCACGTGGCCTACAGCACCTGTTGGCTGCCGTTTAATGATTGTACTTGCCAGAGATTTATGGAGGGATGTCAGAAATTTGCGGTACAAAATTCCCGCGATTCAGCGGGAGAGACGTTGTTGGGTGATGAGTGATTTATAAGTAAGTGGGAGAAATCACTGGGACTTTTATTGTTTTACAAAGGAAACAGTTTCTGAATGCTTGCTTTCTATTGACACTGGAAATGTGGGAGTCTGATTTTAACGTCAATTTACAAATAAGAACAAGCACGGGATCAGGTAGAGGATGTCAGCTTTGTGTAGCCTCTGACTGCTTTCCTCCACTTTCCCTATCCCTTGGTTTCCTTCTGCCGAAAGGTGGTTTTGCTCATTTCCCCATTTCCTGGCTTGTGGTCTAGGTTAGCAGGCCATCGTGGAACCTGGACAGTTAGTCCCGCTTCCTCTCTGGCCGCCCTTTACTTTCTTGGACAGCAGATGGGGCGAGACTTCGCCCCTCGCGCGGGAGCGTAATGGCCTTACCCCATCCACCTCCCGCGCGCTGCGTGAACAATGACGGCGCCGCCCCGCCCACCTTCGGGAGTCTCGAGCATTAAGCCCTAAACTACAACTCCCAGAAGGCTCAGCAGCTGCGCTAACGCGCACCCTTCTCTAGTCTACTCCCCCCTCCCCCCCGCCTTTCGGCGCAACTACATGTCCCAAGAGGCACCACGCCGCCTCATTTTCTTCCACTGCGCAAGAGCGGAACTGCGTTTGCTTCCGGCGTGCGTTTCGAGGAGCTCGGTTTACAGTAAGTCTGAGGGTCTGTCGGGAAGGGCTTCTGGAGCTACTAATTGTGCAGGTGAGATAATACGCTCAAGAACGCAAATGTTGCCTCCTTGGGACCTGGGAAGATTTCGGTGTTTGGGGTAACGGGGACAAATTCTAAAGCTAGAAGACTGGAAAAAATTCCTCACGTGTTCTACATTACGAAGTGCTTTTTTTTCTCCCCCTTTTCACAGCCGCATTTATCTCCAGAACAATACTAAACGTGAGGAAGGGCAAGAACCTCCAGTTGGCAACTAAGGAAGAGTTTCAGAGAACTTAAATGATGGTCTGTAGACACCACTAGGTGTTACTGAGCCAGACCGCAACTGTTTTCTGAGGCCAAGCCCATTGTTTTCTGTTTTGCATCCAGATTGCAGACGCCCTTTTCTTTTTGACTAAGAAAGTTGGAGTGTAGACATCTGCCGCCTTCTTTTCTCAAGTCGAGTATACTTGATAGAGAGATGAAGGGAGCGATGACGATGCTATGATCAGTTCTGCTGCTGTTGTGTAGTGTTTTCCTATTATGCTTTGAGTCATTCATTTACTCATTGTATTTATTGAGGTGCCTAAAGCTTTTCAAGCCCTGTTCTAGGTACTATAGATATAGTAGAAAACAAAAATGCCCAGCTCTTACCTGGGGAGAGACAGTAAACAAATAAATATGGAGAGAAACTAAGATAAGGGGAAACATCCATTGGAACATTTTGAACAGTGGCCCCTTAGGATTAGATCTGATATTTAATTTGCGTTCTAGGCACAGCGACAACACAGAAAAGATGGGAGAGGAAGCCAATGATGACAAAAAGCCAACGACTAAATTTGAGCTAGAGCGGGAAACAGAACTTCGCTTTGAGGTGGAAGCGTCTCAGTCAGTACAGTTGGAATTGTTGACTGGCATGGCGGAAATCTTTGGCACAGAGCTGACCCGAAACAAGAAATTCACGTTTGATGCTGGTGCAAAGGTGGCAATTTTTACTTGGCATGGCTGTTCTGTGCAACTGAGTGGCCGTACCGAGGTGGCTTACGTCTCTAAAGATACCCCTATGTTGCTTTACCTCAACACTCATACAGCCCTAGAGCAAATGCGAAGGCAGGCCGAAAAGGAAGAAGAGAGAGGTCCCCGAGTGATGGTAGTGGGCCCCACTGATGTGGGCAAGTCCACAGTATGTCGCCTTCTGCTGAACTACGCAGTGCGTTTGGGACGTCGTCCTACTTATGTGGAGCTAGATGTGGGCCAGGGTTCTGTGTCCATCCCTGGTACTATGGGAGCCCTCTACATTGAGCGGCCAGCAGATGTTGAGGAAGGTTTCTCTATCCAGGCCCCTCTGGTATATCATTTTGGTTCTACAACCCCTGGAACCAACATCAAGCTTTATAATAAGGTCAGAGTTGGAGCCAAGGTGGGGGAGAGGGAGGGGATTGGAAGTGTGGGGAAATTTGCTTTTTAAAACTACAGACTTTGCTCTCTCTCAGCGTATTGCTTTTACCTGTGTGGTGGTATTGACACATGATTTCAGAAAAGGGTGTTTCAAATATGTCAGCTTTAGACTGCTTAACATTTTTATGAACTTTCTTAGTAATTAATTAAATTTCCAGTTAGAACATAAAACAGGAAGCAGAAGCAACATAAATCCATGTTATGGGGTGAAAATCACAGCTATTAAAAATATCATTTTAGGGCTGGCAGAGTGGCTCAGTGGTAGAGTACCTGCCTAGTAAGTGTGAGGTCCTGTTCAAACTCCAATACCCCCTTCCCCCACCACAGATCATTTTTAAGGTGAGTGTAGTGTTTCATGCCTGTAATCCCAGCCATAGGGAGGCTGAGGTAGGATCATAATAAGTTGGAGGCCAGCCTGGGCTACAGAGTGAATTCAAAGCCAGCCTGGGCTGCTTTGAAAACAGCTCCCAACAAAACAACAAACTCCAAAAAAGTCATTTTTGGAGCACTTGGGGGACTGAAGCAGGAGGATTGAGAGTTTGAAGCCAGATTGAGATATTGAGATCCTACCTCAACAAAGCAAAACAACAACAACAACAACAACAAAAAATCATTTTGGGGCTGAGTTTGTAGAGCATTTGTCTACCATGTGCAATGCCCTGGGTTGGATCCTGAGTACTGCACACACAAATCATTTTTCTTGTACATAATACTATTTCTTTTTTTTTTTTTTTTTTTGGCTGTACTGGGGTTTGAGCTCAGGGCCTATACCTTGAGTCACTCCACCAGCCCTTTTTCCTGATAAGATAGGGTCTCTTGAATTATTTCCCTGGACTGGCTTCTAACCTTGATCCTACTGATCTCTGCCTCCTGAGTAGCTAGGATTACAGGTGTAAGCCATGGTGTTTGGCACCACTTATTCCAAAGAGGGATAAAGTAGCCAGGCACCAGTGGTTCATGCCTGTAATATCCTAGCCACATGGGAGGCTGAGATGGGGAGGATTATGATTTGAGGCCAGCCCAAGCATATGATTTTTGAAACCTCATCTCCAAAATAACCAGAGCAAGCTGGGCACTGGTGGTTCATGCCCGTAATCCTAGCTACTCAGGAGGCAGAAATGAGGAGGATCACGGTTGGAAGCCAGCTCAGGCAAATAGTTCGAGAGACCTTATGTTGAAAAAACCCATCACAATAGAGTTGGTGGAGTGGCTCCAGATGTAGGCCCTGAGTTCAAACCCCAGTACTGCAAAAAAAAAAACAAGTAAATGGACAAATGAGTCATGGATTTATCTTTTTTTTTTTCCTCATCCTGATTCTTTTCTAGATTACATCACGTTTGGCGGATGTGTTCAACCAAAGGTGTGAGGTAAACCGAAGGGCGTCTGTGAGTGGCTGTGTCATTAACACCTGTGGCTGGGTGAAGGGCTCTGGTTACCAGGCCCTGGTGCATGCAGCCTCAGCTTTTGAAGTGGATGTGGTTGTGGTTCTGGATCAAGAACGACTGTATAATGAACTCAAACGGGACTTGCCTCACTTTGTCCGTACTGTGCTGCTCCCTAAATCAGGGGGTGTAGTGGAGCGCTCCAAGGACTTCCGGCGGGAATGTAGGGATGAGCGTATCCGTGAGTATTTCTATGGATTCCGAGGCTGTTTCTATCCCCATGCTTTCAATGTCAAATTTTCAGATGTGAAAATCTACAAAGTTGGGGCACCCACCATCCCAGACTCCTGTTTACCTTTGGGCATGTCTCAGGAAGACAACCAGCTCAAGCTAGTACCTGTCACACCTGGCAGAGATATGGTGCATCATCTTTTGAGTGTTAGCACTGCTGAGGGTACAGAGGAGAACCTTTCTGAGACAAGTGTGGCTGGTTTCATTGTGGTGACCAGTGTGGACCTGGAGCATCAGGTGTTTACTGTTCTGTCTCCAGCGCCCCGCCCATTGCCTAAGAACTTCCTTCTCATCATGGATATACGGTTCATGGATCTCAAGTAGAGATCAGCAAGAAGCCTTGTTTTCTGGGGCATAGAGATCTTCTGGCCACACCAAAGGCCAGTGGGCTGAGATAAGAGAATCTGTTGAGGTCAACTGACCAGGAAACTGGACTTGTAGAAAGGATGTGTTCTACCTCTTAAAATATGTGGTAATAACTAAACTCTTATATTAAACCAAAAGAAGAAATGTGAAAAAATTTTAATTACTTTCTTAGATCACCTAAGGTGCCACTTTGAATACTCTAAAACCCTGGAAAATTGCATTTTTTTTTACTGTCCTTCCACGTGGACTTTTTTTAAATCACCACTTCATGTCCCACATACAGTACTTGCTATCACATTTTCCAAGATTAAAGTGAATTAAAGGGACTCAAATAAAATTCATACTTGAAAAACATATATTTTTTATTCTTTTTTTTTTTTTTGGTGGTACGGGTATTATTATTCTTTATTAGTTGTACAGGAGGGATTCATTGTGATATTATACCTTGGTTAGGTTCACCCCTACTATCTCTCTCCCTCATGCCCCTCCCCTCTGAAAAATATTTTAATAAATATTTTTGCCATATCACAGAAGTTGGTGTAATTTTTTAATTTTATTTTTTCCCTAAGCATTACAGAAACACTATTAGAATGAATTATTATTATTAAAATGTTTAGAGGAGTAGAAAACCAAGAACCTACCTGTGAGCCAAGCAAGTGAGCTTTTTTTTTTTATTATTGTTTTGGTGGGGCTGGGATTTGAATTTAGGGCCTTAAGCCTGGTAGGCAGGCACTCTACGACTTGAGACACTCCTCCAGCCCTTAGGTGAGCTTTTATGATGGTTTCCTCTTCCTCTGCATTTAGATGATAAATCTGTTGTTAGTGCTGGCTGGCTTTACTGTGGGTAGATAGAGGCTATAGATAATCTTGGGGTGAGTTTCAGATCTAATTTCCTAGACATAGCCCATTTTCTCTGTTGAAGTTATCTTTCCTGTCTATTTGATTAGAACCACATCGTAAGTCAAAGTGTAACTTGAGCTTTCAGGTGGTAAAAAGGTGAGAAAGTCCATTCTTTTTGATCTCTTGCAAATGATTGTTTGGTGTTCCTACTTTGGACTTGGATTATTTAAGTATCTGATAAATTATCCATTCCTTCTTCCCACAAATATTTACTGAACACGTACTCTTTGCCAGGAACCCTTCTAAGTGGAGAACAAGATAGACAAAAGGTATTATGAAGCTTACAGTAAAAAATAAACTAAAGGGCTGGTGGAGTGGCTCAAGTGGCCTGCCTAGAAAGCCTGAAGCCCTGAGTTCAAACCCCAGTACCAAAACAGGTGCTAGTGGCTCACACTTGTAATCTTAGCTACTGGGGAGGAACAGATCAGGAGGATCGTGGGTCGAAGTCAGCAAGTGGTGGGGGAGGAAGTGGGGAAACGATGAAGGAGGGTAAATAAGGTGTAAATACTGTGTACACGTGTATGTAAATGGAAAAATGGTGTCTGTTGACTATTCCAGGAATGGGGGGTGGGGGGATGAAGGAGAATGGAGGAGGAGGTAGATTCAAATATTTGATGTACTGTAAGAACTTTCATAAATGCTACAATGTATCCCCACCCAGCACAACAGTAAAAAATAAAATAAAATAGAAAAAAAAGAACAAACAACAAAAAGCTGGTGGAGTGGCTCAAGGTGTAGGTTCTAAATTCAAACCCCAGTATAGAAAAAAAAAAAACAAACTAAAAAAGGAACGTGCTATACAAATTTGGAAATTTTGTATATAAAAATTTTGTAATATAAAAGTGCTATACAGGAAATTGGGTGGTTAGGAAAAGTCCTTCTTGAGCATACCTGAAAAAACTAAATGATGATTGTGGCAAAACCTTTCTGGTGGAGGAAACAGTGCAAAATCCTAATAAAAGAGCTGGATGGGTTTAGTGAAAGAATAAACCAGTGTTAGTTGGACTATGCAAAGGAGAGTGATGAAAGATGAGGCTGGAGGGAACAGCAAATACTAGATAAATGTAGGGTGTTTTTGAGCAGGGTGAAGAATAGATTTTGTCCTAAGGGCAGTGGGAGACCAAGAAAAGGGTGGTTAAGCAGAGGAATGGCATGACCATTACATTTTGAAGAGATCACTGCTGTGTGGAGACTTGATTTCACAGGCAAAGGCAATAGGATACATTTGTGGTAGTCTCAATGTGAGAATTGATGGGGAGTTAAGACTAGGGTAGCTAGCAGAGGTGGAGCTGGTGAGATCTATGTATGTTTTAAGGCATTTTGGGTTCTTTTGTTGTTTTTTGCTTTGGTGGCACTGGGGTTTGAACTCAGGGCCTAACACTTGCTTATGCATGTGCTGCTCTCACTGCTTGAGCTACTCGTCAGTCCTTTGTTGTGATGGTTTTTTTCCGAGACTGTGGAGATAGGGTCTTGAAAACGATTTGCCTGGGGCTGCAGTCTTCCTGATCTCTGCCTCAGTAGCTATGATTACAGGCTTAAGCCACCGCCTCAGCTTGCTTTAGGGTATTTTGAAGGTAAAAATGGGGACTTGCTGATGAAAGTGATAAGAAAAATAAAATGGAAACAAAGATGATTTCTAAGCTGGGCGTGGTGGTGCACACTTAATATCCCAGCACTTGGGAGGCTGAGACAGAAGGATCAAGAAGTCAAGGTAAGCCAGGTGCCAGTGGTTTATATCTGTAATGCCAGCTACTCAGGAGACAAAGATCAGGAAGATCATGATCAGAAGCCAGCCTTGGGCAAATAGTTCCTGAGACCCTATCTGGAAAGAACCCATCTCAAAGGGCTGGTGGAGTGGCTAAAGGGGTAAGAGCATCTGTTTTAAGCAAGTGTGAGATCCTGAGTTCAAATTCTAATGCTGCGGGGCGGGGGGAGGGGGGGGAGAAAAAAATGTCAAGGCCAGCTTAGGAAGACCCTGTCCAGAAATAAAAAAGCATAATTTATTTATTTCTTTTTTTTGAGCAACTGGATTGCTTATGAGATTGGGGAGGTTCGAGAGGGTACAAGGGAATAGGAAGAGTGTTTTGGCTGAGCTGTTCATTAGTCATCCATATGGAGATACAAACTGCTTGAATCTGGAGGGCTAGAGAAAGTAATCACTGAAGGTTCATAAGAGCCACTGACCTGTACAGGGCATTTAAAGCAGGACTACAGAGTGAAATAATTTAGGAACTATGTAAATGGAAATGAGAGGGAAGCAAATGATGCAATTAAGGTTCAGGATGTAGTTCTTGCCTAGCATGCATGAGGCCTTGGGTTTGATCCCCAGCACCTGCCAAACAAAGAAGGTCAAGTATAAATAGAGCTAATGAAGGAGACTTTACCATGGATGTAGAAGTACTGATTTTGTCAGTATTGATCCTGAAAAATGTAGTCACAGTCATGATAAAAGCCCTACTGAAAAAGATTAAAGAGGTAATATAGAGGGCAGGGAATGTAGCTCAGGGTAGAGCACTTTTGTCTAGCACACCAAGGCCCTGGGTTTGATCCTCAGCAGTGCAAGTAAATATAATTGATGTATTTACTACATACTAAATGTTTATAAAAAGCAAAGAGTCTTGTATTTGCTCACATTTGTACATTTTATTTACTTTTTGCCATGTTAATATTGAATGAGTCAATCACTGAAACAATTTTGATATCTTTTTCTGTTAAAAAAAAAAAAAGTAACCTAGCTACTTGGGAGGCAGACATCAGGAGGATGGTGGTTATGAAGCCAGACCAGGGAAGTAGTTCTTGTGACCCTATCTTGAAGATACCCAACACAAAAAAATGGCTGGCAGAATGGCTCAAATGGGAGATCGCCTGCCTAGCAAGCATGAGGCCTTAAGTTCTAGCACTAGTACCACCAAGAAATAAAAAAGAGAGAGACTTAGAGGGGTTGGAGGAGTGCCTTAAGCAGTAGAGTGCCTGCCTAGGAAGCTTGAAGCCCTTGAGTTCAAAAAAAGAGATAAACTGCAGAAGTAAAGATAACTACAGACAAGTCTTTCAAGAAGCTTTGCTAAACTGGGCGACTGTGGTTCACACCTGTAATCCTAGCTTCTAGGGAGGCTGAGATCGGGAGGATAGCAGTTTGAGGCCAGCCTGGGCAAATAGTTCACAAAACCCCATCTCCAAAATAATCAGAGCAAAATGGACTTGCTGTATGGCTCCAGTGGTAGAGCACCTGCTTTGCAAGCACAAAGCCCTGAGTTCATACCCCAGTCCCACACACACACACAAAAAGCTAAGAATAGGGATGGAGGATTGGGAGACGGGTTGAAGGTATAGTGTGAAAAGATTTGTCAGTTTTTTAGGTTGGATGATGCCTCTCAGTAGCCTACAGATGGAGAGAAATTAGTGATGGGACTGTGTATGCTCTTGACATTTTTTTCTGTATGTTTTAAAATTTTCATCATCGGCCAGGTGCCGGTGGCTCACACCTGTAATTCTAGCTACTCAGGAGATTAGGAGGATTGTGGTTTGAAGCCAGCCTGGGCAAATAGTTCCGTGAGACTCTATCTCTAAAAAGCCTTCACAAAAATAGGGCTGGTGGAGTGGCTCAAGGTGAAGGCCCTGAGTTCAAGCCCCAGTACCACACACACACACACACACACACACACAAAATTGCCATCGAAGAAAAATAGGAAGGTAGATAATGCAGGAGTGAAGGTGATGGGATCCAGAGGACACAAGGAAGGACTGTCTTTTAGCACAGCAGAGAATTTGTGTGTGTGTGGGGGGGGGGTTCCTGGGGATTGAACCTGGGGCCTTGCAAATGATAAGTGTGGGAACTACCATTGAACTACACTCCCAGCCCCAAGCAGAGACATTTCATAAGACAAGAGGGAAGACTGAGTATTTAAGCTTTAATAAAGAGGTTAAAAAAAAAAGCCATCAGTGGTTTAGATGCTGAAAGAGGGCACTGCTCTTTGATAAGTTGAACTAAAAATAACCCTGTGCTTGTGATTTATATGTATGAGGAAATGCAACTAAAAAGTATTTGAAAAATCACAAACTACGTAGAAAAACTGTCAGGTTTACTTGATATACATATAAGGTAATTTATTTCAAGTATGATGATCTGGATATCCTACTGTTTTAGCTAACATTTTATTTTGGACTATTTTTCAAAAGTGGCTGGCAGTTTAAACTTTATGTTTCAACATCCGTCCAGGATATACTTTGCATGATCCTAAGGAAAACTAGACAAGAAATGAAATCCTTCTAAACCTTGGGATAGTAATTATGTTCTGTTAATGCTCATCCAGCTAAAATAGTTTAGCAATCCAGTAGTCTACTGAATATTATTCAGTACCTTTGGATGACTGA